TTTGTATTGTCGTGACATTTGCAGCGAACATTTGTTTGTGATGTTTGCACGAGGCTCTTGAATGGTGGTTTGGCGTAGTCCTCGCTTGGCCGCGCGAATTCTAAGTACCACTTACAATGGTCAAAGTCAATAAAATATCAGCATACGAACTAAAATGAGCTGGTTTCTGAGCTTCATCTTGCACCATATTTCTTTAGGATTAAAAGATATCGAAAACATTAGAATAATAAACATGAATTTTAAAATATTAAAAATATTACTGCGCGCGCGAAAGTTAACGGGACTTTAGAGAAACGCCCCCCCTGGCGTGACTTACTGGCGTAAATAAGCCGGAATTTAGTCATGATATCTCAAAATACACCTGTCAGCGCTCAAGTCAGATTTCTTGGCCCACATAGCGCTTCAGCTTCCTACCTTGATAATCATGATGTTCGACCTCTTCGTTTCCTTTCTTATCCTAAAGATCTCGCTCACATATCTTCACACAGTTCAAGGAAACGGTAAGTTAAAGAATTCCATTGTTGATACCTAAAAAGCTTTAAGGTTTTCCTAACTACACGAAGTGAGGCCTTTTTTATTTATCCATAAGCATCATTCTTCATATAAAGAGAGAATTTGACTTAGTAAAAGCAAACTGTGCTCTCTCTCTTCCTGTCGAATTAAAAATTAGAGTGTGCTAGTTTCTGCGCTTTACCCTCGGGGATTTCGTCTTGTACAGATGTTTTCTTCTTTAGCAGTTTTTTTTCTTCGTTGGAAAATAAATTTACTTAAAATTATTGCGATAATTTGTTTCTTTCAGTTTTGATTAACTTTCATTTTTACTTTTGCCATGAAATCTCATTTTGGTTTGCTTTTTTCTTTGATTTGTGAGAGTTATAAAATTTCCCAAGCTGAACTTCATGTAAAACTGTTTAATTAAAGAAAACCTTAAAAAAAACAACAATGTAATTTTGATATTGAAGTTTGAAAGGCTCACAGTGAGACAAGTGAAAACAGTTTCCGACTAATGTGAATTTCTCCGTTTAATTGCTTTTTTTCAATTAATTATTTATGAAATGATGTCGCCAGTTCTATAGAAATGGGAAAAGTAACTATATATGCAGCTCAAGAAGAAATATTTTAGTTCAAATTAGAAAAAAAACAATGGAGATATTCTTCAGTGTTTACTAAAAAGCTTCCGACCCTAAACCGCAGCCCGGAAGCAGAGGCAAGACCAAGGAAATATAGAAAGGTGTCATTTGCTTGAGTGTGTAAAAAATGAGAAAAGGGGAAAGCTACCGAATTCCATGAAGATCCGAACTCGGTCGTACCTGTCCAGATTTCGCTTTAGAGTCCATGTTTTAAACTTGTTGGCGAGTTAGCCCTTTCAGGCTCACGTTTGTCCATTGCTGTGCTCACTTTACTACGTTCAGCGATGTTGAAAGAGGCTTGCACTCAAACAAACAGAGAAAGAGGGTAAATTGTAATTTCAGATCTGTCGACGAATAGCCAATTAAATTGTCACTATACAAAGTATACTTCCTACACCGTTGAGCATGAAATTTCTCAGATTTAATTTTTTTGTATGTGTGTGTATCATGTGGATAGTCGATCGTCGGTGGTCCTTCTTCTCACGTCGCCAGTCTACTCGTGACGCAACGGTGTCTTTCCTATTCATTTGCAGATGTCTGCAGACAAGCTCGGTACCAACTTCCCCTCATCAATAAATCCCTTATTGGTCACGTAATCATCAGCGTGCTTGTAAACGACAATGACGAGTGCCAGCTTCGATGTTACATAGAACCTAAGTGCCTCTCTTATAATGTGGGACCTCACATAGTTTATAGACACGAATGTGAGCTCAGTGATTCAGATCACGTGCAACACCCTCAGGATTTGGTCCTCATGCTAGGTTACACGTACATAGGGACTAAGGTACAGAGTAGTCGCTGTAGACTCTCTATTTTTAACCTATTTGATATCTGTCACGTCACCAGGTGTTTCGCCTTTCCGCTGACACATCCTCTGTGGCTGGGAGAGAACCATTATCAATTTAGGACGTCTCTTTCACTTCTCATCATTAGTTAGAGACTAATACCGTGACCCCATTCACACCAAAGCTTGAACACGTTTTAAAGTTGTTTTGTTAAACACACTTTAATTTTTTTTCTTAGTAAGAACAACTTAACCTAGTCTTTTTCTACTTAAAATATAGCACATTGGAAATGCAAGTTAGCAAGTACTTGAATCCTATAGAAAAATAAGTTTTTCCAGTTCTCTCTTTATGATTTTCATTCAGTAAAAATCAGTTTAACCAAACATGTTTTGCTGGCGTGAATAGGGTATAAGCTTACTACCAACTAAACTTACTACTTTCTATTTTGTTTTGAAATCGTATCGATTTTAGTCACTACACTATGATCTGTAAAATTTTACGCTAGAACCATAAAACTGTCAGCTTCGATCGCCTTGGGATATTTGGCGCGAGAGAGAGGGAGAGAGAGAGAGAAGGAGAGAGATGGCACAGAATAAATCTATTGTCATTGGGTGAAACTCTTTCCAGTCATATGAACAACTCTTAATGATTGCACCCTCTATATACATTTTTTGTTTACTTAATAACCACAAGAGTTGGTACAGTATTAGCTGTCCCAAATAACCGTTTGGCTTGGAAAAAAACGGGGAAGCCATACTAAAAGGGAATCTCCAAAGGTAGAATAATATGAAAATGGCTTGTATTATGAAGATCGTTTGAAAAATTGCTGTTTTGCACTTCGCTGCCAAACCTGACGTGTCAAGAAATAGAAGAAGAATCGCTCACTGTCCTAAAAAAGTGAAAAATACTTATGTTCACATGAATAGGACCTTCTTTCATTCATGGTCCAACATATATTGAGCTTTAAAGCAGGTAGTTCTGTAAACTCTTAATACGCTTTGAGGACCTACAAGCACTTCTCCAGAGATTATGAGTGGCAGAGCAGCGCATCGAGGCGAGAACACGCCCATCAAGGCTTCGTTACCCACCCAAGTTATAAAATGGCTTGTGCGTAGTTTAAATGAATATGTTACATATAAAAAATATGATATTCTTTACAGAATGGTTGCTCGTCCAGTCCATGTCTAAACAACGCCACCTGCCTTTCGTTGACACCAACAACTTTCCAGTGCGAATGTAGCGAGGGATTTACCGGGTTAAACTGCGAAACGGGTAAGTAGGCCTGGGTGTAGTTTAAGGGCGTCTTGGGAATGAAAATGAAAAGAGATTACATTAATATCGCTGCTTACTTTGATACTATGTCTTTAGGAAAGAGTTGCCGGGATATTAAAACTGCATCACCGCATGCTCCAAATGGTATGTACCGCATACATCCTGATGGCGGGCACAGCTCTATCTGGGTCTATTGTGATATGACGTCATTTGGGGGCGGATGGACGATGTGTTACTCAACCAATAACAGCGTTAATCCTAAAAAGGAAGTGACATACAACGAACGTCGGCTATATGGAACAAATGGCTACAGAACTAACTGTAATCATATTCAGGTGAGATAAAGTCTTTGATAAAGTTAGTCGTCAATAAAAAAATGAAAGAAAAACTCAAACCTAATATCTTGAATTAGACGAAACTGATTGACATAAATTTTATTCTTCGAACAATAAGGGCCCGGTCACCGGTTATTATTCATCATCCGGAGAGGATTATGGTTGTGTACCCAATAAAATGTACCATAAAATATTTTCTTTTGTTAGCTTACGTTTACTGCTTACATTTAATGTTAAGTTGGGCATGCTACATTATTAACAAGACTGTTGACCCTCAAATAACTCATGAAACTTAATTTCAAGTTCACTTATCTATCGTCGGGTTTCCCAGCATGAATTGCATGTCATTTAACAATTTATTAAGAAAACACACGAAACATTTTTCCTAAATATTATTTTGCAGTTTCGTGAAATTCTTTTTGTTGACGAACTCAAGGGTGACCAAGCCTTCTTTACATATCAGTTTGACTCCAGTCTCGTACCAGCGGAAAATTACCAAAAACAATTTCCAGGGTTTTGGAGAGCAGGAGGTGTGGCAGATACAAGATATAATTATGAGCTTCTCATGTGCAATACAAACTTCTACTCTGGATTCATCGTGACAGGCCACTTTTACTACTGCAGGAAACGCTGCACGTTATGGTGCAGTGATAAGACCTCTCCATTCTTCCGGTCAGCGACTTCTTCAAGAGCATTTACTGGTGTGGCCTTTAATGTCAATGGCCACCGGCCTCTTAACAGCAGCCTGATCAGTGTTGGGCTGAGATAAATGAAATTGCCAAGCAGACTCACTTTCATAAACAACGAGGCAACTATACCATGTAAACTATTCAACCTACTCCTAATGCGAGGAACTGAGTGGTCTTCCAACGGCCTAGTTCTTAACCCCTTCCCCCCCCTCCCTGCCTCCTCCCTTCTCAAATTCCAGAGAAAAAGCCCTCTCTACAAAGAGCACCTCAAAGGCTAACTCGTCCCCAGTCATCTCCCTTATAAAAGTCGTTCCATTTTAATCACAAATGTGTATGTCTCCCGAGACCACGCCACTGCGTGTGAAATGTAAGATATTATTTAGGATGAGTCAGCTTTAAAAGCCGTTTAAAGGCTAACCTCTAACCAGACACATTTTTAAAGATGAGGCGGGCGTTTACTTTTTCCTCATCTTTTCTTATTTTCTCTTTCAATTTAGATCGATGTAGCATCAGGCCTTTAATTCAACTACCTAAAACTGACGAATGATCGCTGCAATCATCTGATCATGATTAGAACCAAAACTGAAAATTTAGAAACTGTGTTGTAGAAAAAAAAGCTATTTCAATCAGTTTTTATCATCGCTAGTTCACAGTTCAAGAATTGGACCACGTTTTAGGCGCGACTCGATGCCACCGAAAACTATTTTGAAATTTTGTTGAAAAAAACCGGAGATATTTTCGTTCTTAGGCTGCATTATAGGTCCGTCGAGAGAGCGAAATTCATAGCAGAAGCCCAAAACCTGTACGTGAAAGGGAATATTCAGTGTCTGAAAGCTTAGAGTACTCAGTGGTATAGATTATTTCTGTAAATGACTCAGACATACTCGGAAAAATTGAATTCTGAGTGCTTCCCATAGGAGTCGGAACTACGACCTTCCAACTAGTACTCTGGATCGATGCTCAACCAGTGACCAATATATCAGTGGCAACCTAGGCCGTTTAACAGTTGGGTACATAGTGACAAAATTCCTGCATACTGCTAAGATAGGATTTTCGATGCGTGATGCTTTTACGGAATGATGGTGTAAATAAGAAAGTGTTAATAATTATTATAAATTTTTAGCCTAGATTATTTCAGTTGACCAAACCAGCTCTCTCAGATAGGCACGTTTGCACAGTGAATAAGTTACGCTCCTCTAGTCTTATTCAGAGAATGCATGATCGAGGGGCATGCGTGTCCACAATATTGCTTGGGAGACAACCTGCGGATTTTTCTTAATTTCCAAAGCAACTTGAATCGATTTCAACTTAAACTGGAAAACACGAAGGCTCCATTTGGCACGAAAATATCCTTGTGTATTTGTTCTAAGACGAAATTTGCTCAGAGAAGGGAAATTGTAATATAGCACGATCGATAAATGACGCTTATTAGTTGTACTGATAATCCAAATGAAATGTGTCTATGAAATGTAGCCATACAAAGCCTTAAAACGTAAATCGACCTATTATTGCATGGTTGTTATAATGAGTTATTATCCGACTGCGCTAAGTAGAGTGAAAATATCACACTGTAAAAAAAACCTGTTTAACCGGTCGGCTGCGCTTGTTACGCTTCACTATCTGCTACGCTTTCGCCGCCTTAGGAGAAATAAGTGCAAAATAAAGCAGTTGTATAGTAAATAACTTATCACACGTTTTCTTGCGTAGTATTGCTAAGTATTTTTACTCGTATTTTGTACTTTGACTCTCCTTACGGGCTCGTCAAAATGCGGCACAACTCGTAAAAATACTTAGCTACACTAACGTCTGATAAGATACATGAAAAAATGACTCAGTTCTGATTGATTAAGATAAATGAAGTTTACAGGTAATTCAATGCATAAGAGGGTTAATTCAGTGCAAAGAGGTAACAAACCAGACTGAATTTGAACTTTTTTGCGCCTTAAAGATGTGAAAATATCATTGTATATTATTGTGTTAATCGTACGCGGTTGTTTTGACCGAACATACAATGTCGCTTGCATTTGAATATATTATTTTTGCACTTAATGCGCGCGCTTTGCTTCTGTATAATTATGATAAACGATCTAGTATTTTTTCATATATATTATTAATACGTAATCAAATTACTTTTCTCATGCAATTTGGAATAAATAAGCACTTGAAATGTTTTTCAAAGACTACGGGCTCGTGCAATTTTGTAGGCCTTTGAAAAAGTTTACTCGTCCTTATTTATTCCAAATTGTACTCGAAATCATGTGATTACTTATACTAATAGGATATATATATCAGAGTAGATCTGAGTGTGCTGAATAAAGTTTTCATGGTTGCTTTTTTGCGTTCAGTCAGTAATCACCGTCATCTGGAGCCCTTAGTGGGCTATCGTTCCCTTTGTAGGCTACTTTCCAGAGTCCTCACCTCTGAGAAAGACACTATTTTACCGCAACACAATGAGGTATCGATCAATATCAGTATCTGAGCAACTGCGAACCTATCGAAAGTTTCTAACAAACAAAGAACGTTCGTATCCTGTTGATCAAAAATCGGTCCAGTATACGGTGGGTTTTTTTTTTTATCGAGCGTATTTCTCGTACAAAACAAGTCATTCTTCCCGAAAATAACCCATCTGCTTCTATCTACCTGCATTAGGCCGGTGTTAGAGTATTGTGCGCCCTTATATAACCATGCGTTGTCTGCTAATTTAAGCGAAGACCTAGAGCATATTCAGAAAAGCGCGCTTTCCGTAATTCGAATTTCTCCTGGCCTTTCATATCACGTCATTTTAGAATTGTATAACATCAGATCTTTGAAAGGCAGGCGCAAAGAACAATGTTCTAAACTCTTTGACTCAGTCGTATCTGGATACTGCGCATAAACTCCATCACTTGCTGCCACTCAAGAACATAAGCAGACACAATTTTAGAAACCAACGCAATTTTATGTTGCTAAAAATGTACACAAATCGTTACACGAACACATTTAATCCATCCATGTCCAATCGGTAAAACTTTATATCTAGTCGTTTTTATAATCATTTTATATTAAATGAAAATGTCATTTTATAAATGTGTACATTAATATTATTATAACTTTTTATGAAATTCATGCAATGTAGCCTCAGGATCTTTACTCTTTTACGTCATTTACGTCACGCACCGCACTAACATTAGAATATGACATATGCATATTCTTGAACACTCACCCCGCCGTTGAAGTTGTCCTCAAACGTGAATCAGCACATTGAAATTGCCTGGGACTGTCGAGGTGGACCCTAAAAGGAAGGTAAGGTGCAATTTGTTTTAGAAAGGTGAAGGTCAGCAAAAATTACCTCGCTTCTTTTAATTACAGTGTATTGAAAGGCAATGAACAGTGACCATTCAGTATCTGATTTGTGCCTTTCTTACGTTCATCATTTTCATAATTATTACTCAACGTGTTGTAGAGCGACATCGCTAGTTCGCTAAATTCGATTATTTTTTCATACAGGAAATCTCAGAGCGAGGAAGTTTCCAATCAGAGCGCTTCAAAAGGAAATATAAACCTTAGCTGTAATCGAATACGCCACGATAGTTCTTCTGTTTCTACGTTGAATTCGTTCGAAAGGACCGATAAAGAAATAAATATTCCTCCACGAGGCGTTTAATCAGTTCTTATCTCAGCTTTTGCAATGAGTTACCCACCTCAACCACCGCCGTACAATCCAACAGCTCCTCAGCCGAACGCTGGAGTTGATTTCGAACTATATCAACAAGGAACTCCATATCCTCCGCCGCCATATTCAGCACCATATCCTCAACAACAGTACGGCGGGCCTCCTCCACAGCCAGGCTATCCTCCGCAGCAGGGCTATCAACAGCCTTATGGTCAGCCACAGTATGTCTACACAAACCAGCCTAAAACTGTTTACGTTTATGATCAAAATGGGAGACGTAGACAAGACAACAGTGATGCTGCAGACTGCTTTCTGTTAGGGCTATGTGCTGCATGTCTGTGCTGTTGTGTTCTCGACTAATTACAGTGACATTTGAACGTGTTTATGTACGTTACATAATAGGTTTTCTATCTGTTAGCTCTAACTTGCTTCGAGAAAGCCTGTGGGTAGTTTCATAAATTCAGAAAAGAACAGAACTTGTGATATAAAATTGTGTATGTACGTGTGTGCGTGTAAGTAATATTATATTCTCAGAATTCTAAATATTGCATAATTATAGATCTGAAGTTTATCATGTTGCTAGTTTCCAATGCAAATGTAATGTGATGTAGTAGCAGGTTGTGATTCCATATATGGCAGAACAGATGAATCTTTTAAAATACAACGATAAACGAAAAATATATGGTGTAAATGTGTGACAAAGTTTCCCAAGAAGCTGAATTAGAGGGAAATTGGGGAAGAAAACGTTTCTAGTTTTTTTCTAAGGATTCTTCCGAATTTTCATAATCATTGATTCAAACCATAAAAGTATATTGTAAGCCATTTTGTCTAAAATTAATTTTAGATTAAGATTGCAGTGTTCAGGTATGCTTAGTGTTCAAAATTTAGAATATTAAAGTACAACTTTGCTCAACATAAAAACAAATTGCACCATGCAGGTGTGAAGACGAAGAGTTTTTCAATCAAAACCTGCATATTGAGCTTTTATGGAGTAGAGAGCTCCTGAAAGGTTTTGTTCGAAATAGAGAATTTTTCACTCCTTTAAATATCTGCTCATAGATCATGAATTAGTCAATAAAAACTCTTTCAGAAAATTTAACCTTCTTTGGTTAAACCACCCATCTTTGTTTGGTTTGTATCAGATACTTTCATTTTTAAAGAGCAGCTTACAGGTTGTTGATTAAAAGTGCAATGATAATTCATCATCATGATTGTATTTACAAGTGTGTGCAGCTTATTCATGTCTCTGATGGGTGTCCTGTGTATAGGGACTGAAGGGAGGAGTGGGTGAGGAGGGGTTAAACCATGTTGCACCCAGGCTGTTCTCTACTTTGAATGGCATTTTGTTGGATGAACACCTTGTGATGCATGCCGTGTATCAGACGCAATACTCACATTTACTTAATGTGATATAGATCCTTATTTTAATGAAATCCAGGATCTATACAAGTCAGTAACTGTTAATGTAGAAAGCATCCACATCTCTCATAGTATCATACATGGACTGATTAACTGAGAATTTTTAAAAGGTGTTAATTACCTCATGTAAACTTGATCAAGACAGCCACGAGAAAAATTTGATTTAATAGCACATGTACCAGAAAGTCCGGCACAATCTGACCCTTAGTTCCTGCTGGCCAAATCAGGGAAATATACTGAAATATTATATTCGCAAATGGACTTGCCTCTCAGCAAATTTCCTGAACACTTCATTTTGATCAGATAGAGAGGTGATTTGGAAAAGAAACTGGCTGTCCAAGATTCACAACTTCGGAGAATTTCTGAAAAAGAAACTAGAAAAAACTGGCCATTATATGAGAATCTTCAGGGGCAATCTCACCTCTAGAAATGGACATGGATTCGAAGATCATGTCTTGATCAAGCAGTGGTAGATCCAGGAATTTTTGATAGTGGAGTCAAAATTTGATAAAGAAAACTCAGAATAATTATTTTTACACAAATGCCTTGTGGTAAGCTGAGAAATATTGCAAGGAATTTTTTTAACGCATAAAGAATTTTGGTGTCAGGCAACTAATGAAACTAAAACCAGCAGATCTGACGGGTTGGGGGTGGAGGGTTTGGACCTTGCAGATCTTCCCCCTGAATGTGCCATGCACTGTCAAGGATGAAACTGTTTTCGTCAGTTAACTCTTTAACTCCCACAGGTGATTCACATATAACTTCTCCCAACAGCATCCACCATTATCCAGCAGACAGGTAATAAGAGTACTCAAATGTATCAGATAGAAGTTATTATCTTGACCTAACACCAAATTCTTGCCACTAATTTACAAGGAAATGTGTAGCAGCTAGAGGGGAGAATTAACAATCAGATCCTGGGAGTTAAAGGGTTAAGCCATTTAAGGCAGATACAAGCAGCCTTGACTGGAACTCAGTAATTCACAGTTGCACAGATTTCTTTCTTTATCATTTTATAGTCATGGTAGACCTGGTAGACAAGGAAATTTTGCTCTCCATAGATTTTCCTCGGCTAATGATGCTCAAATTTAATAACAATAATAATAAAGATAATAATAATAATAATAATAATAATAATAATAATAATAATAAAAATTTAATTATATGAAAAGCTTTTGAATGTTTTGGCCAGGCAAAGAGCCCTAACAATCAGTTCTGGCACCCAATCAGAATTAACTAATGTGGCATGGCGTAGCTCGCGATAAGTTTTTTCTGCCTTCTCCATTAGCTCAAAGAGATATGGGTCATTGACATGGAAGAAATCGAGTAGTGGAAGACGATTGCGTGAGTGGATCTCATAACGCCCACTTTGTAGTAATATTGTAATTACCTTGAGTACAATGAACAAAAGTGTACTTGTACTTTTTAATAAAGAAGGATTTCCTTTTAAGAGTGAGTAAGGCAGCTGCTATGGGGTGTGAATCACGCCTACGCAAGCTCGAACAAATTGTAAATGGCTGTAGAGGAAGTGACTGGAGTGCTTTGGAAGGTTTTCAATGTTCTTTCATAGGAACTCATTAATTTTGTTTAAAATTATTTGATCCGGTTGCCGTTTCTTCTATTTCATCTTTTGTTTTTTTCCTCAATTATATCCACTCTAATAACATTCTTCCGAGGTAAAATCAGGTGGCTTAGAGCTTTTTCACTTTAAATGCTGGTAAATTATTCCTTTATTTGTAGAGATACTTTTTCAGTAGTTTCGAAACTATTATTTTTCTCTAAAAATGAAAGGCTAAGTTTCGAAATATCAGCAATCGAGGAAGAATCCGTGAAATTCCACTCCTGACGACGGCATATTTTCTGCGCGACTGTTGTTATTTACTTAGTAACGCAACTTTTTCTGTCACGCGAGAGAGTGGAAAATTCTTCTTAGAGGAAATTCGATAACAGCGAAAGAAACTTCAGCTTCTTTCCACATATTTTCTTTTTCATTCTGACAAACTTAAGTTTGTTGAAATCTTATACTACCGGAATCGCATTCAAATTGTAAGCTATTATTTAATTCGTCTGTCAGTAAACTTCGACTGTCAGTTTCGCGCTAAAGTGTAGCTTAAAATATCAAATAGTAACAGATCACATCAAAACATGAATGGAAAATGTTTTTAGAAGATAATCGAGCTATTAGTGAAGAATCAGAACATCTCTTATTTAATGCGGTTCAAACCGGATGTGTGTTATAAATAAACTCGCCGGATGTAAAATATGTAGGGTATTTATCGGTATTATAAATTGGTAATGTAGTGACATAAATTATATTCGTTGCTACACAAAAGGATGATGAAGCTACATATCGTCAACGAAAAAGAGCTTTCTGAAACGGAACAGGAAAAAATCGAGGCTTTGTTCCGGTAGGGCACTTAAAATTTTGCTTAGGAGTTCTAAAAATATTGTAACAAACACAAGAGCCAGTGGAGAATACGATCTCGAACAATACGCAAAGGAATGTCGCACGATCTCTGCGTGCGCATACCGCTCAGATCCTCAACTTAGTATGGTTGTCTGTTCTTTCAGCCAGTAAATCCCTCAAAATGGACCTGATTGAGGGTAGAGTTCGGTATCGGAAAGGAAAAAAGGTAAGCTGTAAATCTTGGATAATGCTTGGTGCATTTCAGTACTCATTCATATTCTGTTTGTTGCAGTGGAAGATTCGATGGGCTGTTTTGAGACGGGTGAATCCAGCGACTGGTAAGTTGTGCACGTTTTTAACTCAAATAATTTACACAATGATTTTCGTCGCAAACACAAATTTTAATAATTTGGTTCTATAGTGCAGCTGGTGGTGTCGCGGCCTAATTTCTTTGTAAGGCAAAACGGCTGTTGTTTGATGGGTTTCGTCGAGAGTGTTGCATAAATAATTTGAGAATCGGAGAACATTATTTATCTCTGCGGTGCGGTCCGTTCAATGATTCTTCGTAAACGCAGCGGTGAGATATCGTCAATTGAACAATTTAAGAGCATTTTCGACTGTCTGAGGTTGAGTTACTGATAATGCGACAGCGACTCTAGTCAAGGACTCCCCTTGCTTTTAGTAAGACTAGTTCTCATTTATACTTCGAATTTTTTCTTATATTCTGTGACCTTCTTCGGCGTCTATTTGTGAAGCTCTCAATGTCCGCGGGCAAGACAAATTTGCGTGGAATTATCGCTCTAAGTGAGCCAACTAGACTTTTAATGGGAAAGGTAACTGCATACATAATAATTCTCGTGAAACTTTTGTATTATTTTGTATCTCGGAATGCCGTTGTTTCAATGATCGCGTGTCCGTTGTATACATTACAATTTTGCTGCTTCACTCGCGCTTGATAGAACATTGATTCTCCAAGCTGTTGCCGCATGCTGTCAGCGTTTTTTTTTTTTTTGAAAAATTTTGCCACATCTCGCCCTCTTTAAAAAGAATCTTTGAGCTTTGAACGCAGTTGTAGGCGTCTGATCTCTTTTTCCGCTTCCAAACATTTGATTTGCCTACCCTGTATCAATTAACCGCCCAACGGCAAGTTACGTCGAAATCGCTCAGTATAAAGTGGTAAAAGTCGTTGAAAATTTGTTCGCTTCTATTATTTATCACCCTTATGGGCTAATTCATTCATTGTAGATCACCAAAGCTATTATCTCACTCGTCACTAGTTTTAGAATTAATTCAATAGAGTACTCAGCAGTTTGCTGAGAGACAATCGCAATATTTATACGAGCTAGGCTTTACGACAGCGCTTTCCATTTCCTATGTTGTTCTTTTAATATTGTCGCTGAATTTGCTCAGTTGCATGATAAAGCGAAATTTGGTGGCCATCTATTCGCTTCAATAATTACTTTGCGTTGTAATATCCTTCCGCTGTTTAAAACGTACTTGTCTATCAGTCTCTAGTCAACGTAAATAGCAGGATTTTTTTTAAGGAAGAAACATCTCCCGGTGATAAAAATTCTGCCTAAAATAACCATGATACATTCTCTATTTTTCGCTTTTCGCCTGCGTTTACTTTCGCCCACGTCGTGATTGAAAATATAAGATTTATAGAAAATAAAGCTGAACCCGCAGAACCTTTTTCTTCTGGTTTAATTCTTTCATGAAGGCTTTTTCTCAATGAGGGATACACATGACTTAATTATACTCAGTCTCATGCATACATGAATTTTATTATATTTCTTTGTACACTGGTAATAACGCCACATTAATATAATATCTTCTTCAATATTCTTTCTTTCTTAATTTCGTCATTGCGACTTGAGAAACTATGATTGATGTTGTTGATAGAAGTCCAAATTGATTTTTGATCATGTGAGCATAAAACGATACCGTATTCAACTGTGACCATAACAACATCGGCTTCGAAAATACATTGTTTGTTGAAAGGCTTTGTAAATTGAGGGTCTTGTAGACCAAATACAGCTGCAAACACATGTTTTGTTTCAAAACTTGGTAATTATTATCACTCCATATGACTCCTGGATTTAAACGTGTTAAAAAAAGTTGTGTTCCTGAAATTGTGAAATTATAAGTAATGTGGTATAGCTGTAGCCCTTAATGAGGAGAACTGATCTGAAATGACCAGTTAAGGCATAACTTTTTGGCCAAACCTCAAAGCATAATGATCTTTACTTAGAAAAAAACGACATTGGTTTTTCTCTCTGTGTGTAACATGTTTGTTGTTTACAAATACACTCATCTTGAATCAGCTGTGTTTGTTTGTCATTTAAGATGAGGCTTTATTTTTCTTTGAGCCCATTCGTTTTCTTGGTAATTTCTAAGAACTTTCCAATTAAAGTGAATTTTTAATAGACAGGTGTTTACATTGGCTTTTTATAACAGAATAATATGGCATGTTTTGGTGACTTACATTTTTTAATCTCAAATATTTTGTATATAATAACTGATATTTTGGCAACAAGTGATGATTTTTTTCTTTGTAGTGTTACTGCTTACAAGGAAATTGTATAAAAAAAGTGTAAGAAATTTTAGGCTTTGATAGGGATTGCAGGCTTACCTTCTTACAAAGCCAGAAGTTGGGAGGAAATAAGAATCTGTTCTCTTGAAAGAAAATTGAACACAATTAGGGTGTATGAAGTAACATGTATTTTTACCTGTGATCAAGATAACAAGTGACAAATTTAGCTTCACAGGCTAACTGCATTTTATGTCGTTAAAGCTATCAAGTCATTGTATCTGTGTCATTCTCGCTGATAAAGGCTTTACATTCTCTGAATTGATTTTTTTCCTTCCCTTGTAGATGTGTTGAATCTTGTGCTGTACCCTGATCGTCATTCAGATCAGACAAATGCAGGAGCTCGTCATAAGGCCCTGCTTTCCCTTAAGGGGTTTAGTGGATTACAGGTGCTCAACAAGATGGACAAACACTTCAATGTGATCGTCATTATAACAACAGAAGAGGTGATTCCTCTAAGCTTTGAGACAATAGACCAAAGAGCAGACTGGCTGGCACTGCTTCAAGGCCATTTTGGGAAAGGTGAGTTTAAAAAAAAGAAAGAAAAATGTATACCAAGGATCGAATCCGCAACTGGCTGCCATCCAAAAGAAAAAGAAATAATCTGTATTTTTATAACCCTTGGCATGCCCTTAGACACGAAACAAAAACTATGTTATTGAACATAAATGCCTCTTTAATTTTCCTTAAATCTGTTGTGTCTCTTCTAGGAGATCCTAACTTCTTTTAAATTGAAAATGCGTTGAAAAGTCAGCCCCTAGAACATTCTAAATTGCAATAATGTGCATGTTTTTTTTTTGTTGTGAACTATTTATAGCACAGTTCTCGAGTAGATGACAGGATTTAACTTGATATATGTAACAATTCTTAAGTTTCTCATCAAAGAAGGTGTAAAAGTTGCCTGTTGATGATAAGCATTTTGACCTTTTGACCCCTAAGAGTGACTGGCATCTAATTTCTCCCTAAAATTTCACCCCTGAATCAAACATTCAGGTAATGAGAATCAAGGAAATGATCACCAACCAGAGAAGCTCTTGATTCATAAACAAATTCTCCTTATCAGCAACATAGGAAACGTGTTAAAAACAGTATGGAGAATATGCATACTGATCTTGGAGTGTAAAGAGTTGACCTGCCACATTCTTATGTAGATACTGTTATGCAAGAGGGTCATAGCTAATTTAGAAGTCATAATGAAGAATTCAGTTGAAAATTGTTTAGGTTAAGAATATTACAGCTTTGATTTGAGATTAATATGTATCCAATTTGAATTTGAATGGAACACAACAGGACTCAAAAGAGAGATGGTGTATTTGAAGAACCATTTGATATTTCCTTTTGAAAGAAATTTGACTCTTATATTTTGTAAACAATGAACAGCCAGCCTGAAGTAAAAAATGTAAAACAACATATAATGCTTATGAAAATATAAAAATTTGGAGAACAAGCCATCACCAGTTTTACTGTTTAAGAATTTTGAGAAGTTTGAATCTTGTATTTTAATACCAATAGATCATAGTGAGGGAAAAATTTCCAGGTGAACAAGATTGAGTTCTGCACTGGATCAGGTTAAATTTAATTAATTTGACAATGATCACATACTTTAGTGTCATTTAAAGAAAGATAATTCCGAAGAATGTACCCAGATTGACCTTAAACTAACTTATTTAACATTTTTAGAAGATTGTTATACCTAAATATAAGACAGGTTATTTGATACAAGACGTTAAGTATGTTGATATAAAATTATGTAACATAAATGTAGACATTGTGAGAACCTGACTGTGGTGATATAGCTTGTAAGGCAAGGTAATGAATTAAAAAGCCAAAAAAAAAATTCAGGCTCTTATGGGATTCAAACCAGTGCCTCAAACCAGTGCCTGAAACCCATGCCTCCTAGATACTAGTTCAAAGGCACACATTGGGGGCTAGGTCAATTAACCCTTTAACTCCCAAGATTTCATTAGTAATTCTCTTTACTGTCCGTCTCACAATTCTTGTGATGCTAGTTTGGAGAATTTGGAATTGGATCAACCAATAATCCCTTAATTGATATTTTTCTTTATTCTCATTACTTGTCTGCTTGATATCATACTGATAGTGTATGGAGAAACTCTGCCTAGATCACTTATGGGACTTAAAGAGTGAAAAAATTCTCTTACAAATAAATGAGGAAGTGTTAACACGGAAACTTAATGGTCTGATCTGATTGATCAGATCTTTTGACATTCCTATATGTGCAAAATTTTATTACAAAGTAGTGTCAGAATGCTGAAATAATCAGATTTTTTTGTGAAGCCTTTCACCCCTAGGGTCTCAATTTAAGATGTCTTCTTAGTGTGCCTTTGGGCTGTGACAATTTGGAAGTAAATCAAACATTATTTCCCACTTTGTATTTTTCTTTATTGTCATTGCCTTGCTTGTGGAAAATATATTGACATTGAGAGGGGAGGTTATTTTTTTGTCACTCATGCACTCATGGAACTAAAAGTTCCAATGAAAATGCAAATTAATAGAACTGATTTCTAAGACTGATGGCAGTTGGAGCAATTCAGATGCTGGTGTCTGAAGTTGGAAGTTAATTGTACCATTTGTGTTGTTTCATCCTCAGAAAAATCCTTTGAGGGTATTGTGCCACACAAGCAGAAGATCAAAGCTGGAGAAGCTCACCTGCGCTTTTATGCCACTTTCTTCTCTCTCACCAAGAAAGACAGCTATCGTCTCATTGGTCACTGGAAGTTTACAGCATTACCCAAGTATGGTGCTGTGGAAGCAGGTTTTGCCTTCCAGGCTAGCCAGGAGTCCCAGTCAGGGGATAAACTTATGACTTACTTCTTTGCCACTCGAGCTGGAAAGGAGATACATTCATTATTTGACAGTGTGTGCAGAGCAGGAGAGGTGGTTCCAGGTCAAGAATGTCTATCAGGTATGCTGTTAAGCATAAGGCTTTTTTGTATGATAAACTGAATGATACATGCAATTTGCTTGGTTCCTACTTATGATCTATTGGAAGACAGACACATAGGCGATGTCACCATGAACAATATTTTTCTTTTTCTATCATACATAATAAAGAGATTTCCTTGTTGCCATGGCTCTGCACAGTAATAGATTATAGAGGATGTCAAAATGTGGTGAGGATATGAGTGACACGCTTGCCTGTGCTTTATGTGTCACTTTTGTGTTTTTACCAGGTTGTGACATCATCTGTGATCTATTACTGAACAGAGCCATGGTAACAGTAACAAGGAATATATGGTTTTAGCTCTAAGACACAGTGCTTGTGCTCTAAATGAGCAGAGAACTAAATATGAGGGCCCATAAATCGATTTTGGTTAATATAGATTATTTACCTTGTTGTTTTGGTGTTCTACAGATATCAATTTATGGTACTCAAAGAATTGTCTCCCTTGAAAATGTTTAAGTTCGTGCTTCCTTGTATTTTGGGGTTTCAGCTAAAGAAACCATCCAATTAGAATTCTGATTTTTTCCCCTAGAATCAACAACAAAACAGACTTTTACTAAGATTTTCGCGTTTGAATTCGCGAAGAACACAATGTTGTTTATTATCTCCAGCAGTTTTTTCCCTCATGAGAATCAATACAATCCTGATATCTGAAATTACTGTCAAACGAACTTGTAGGCCAAAATGTTTAGCTCGGGAAAGTACCCACTTGATTCTGTTCCTTCAGTAAGGTCTTTCCGACAAAAAGAGGTCCGGGCGCAATGTTTCGTTTTTTGTTACCTCTATTTCAAGACGAGACTCTTTTGAAAGAGTGGGGCATATTTTTGCTAAGTTTGTTCGGGTTGTTTCTGAAAATCGAGAGAATGAAAATAAGCTATTTAAAGGTTAAGTAATTCTTTTCTGATTCTCTTTTTCAGACTCAAGTCAGCCTGGCACCAGCGAGGAAGACGACAGGCGACCAGGGTTTCTCAGGCGCGCCTGGCTTCGCATGAGCGGCAAGCGGTCGCATAAAGGGAAAGCACCCAGACCAAGGAGCATGAGCATGCCATCCTCAAGCCATGGGAAGAAAAGCAAGGCTGAAAGTACCGAGCAGAGATTTCCAATAGAGGCAGAAAAGTCTTTGGTACGGAGAAATGAGTCTGTACCCTCGAACATAGGAGCCGGTCGAGATCACGCCGATAGTTTTAATGAAGTATTTTTGAATGGCGAAAAAAATGCTGCAGTCTCTCCCAAAAACCCACCCCCCGGTTACAAGAATATACCCGGGGTGACACCCGAGGGATATGAAGTAATGGAACCGGCGGATGACGAGGCCTTGACAGGTAGGAAAAGCAGCGGGGGATCTGGTACCCCGCGCAAGAAATCACAGGGGAAACGTCAGAGTGGACCGGAAAACGATAAAATTGATGGCGTGGAAGGATACGTCGAAGTAGAAGGAAGAGATGAAGAACTACTTGAAAAAATAAGGACAAACTCATATGCAAAGGAAAAACGCGGAGACTCTGTCGAGAGAACTTCCCGCGGGTCAGAGGGTGGGAAGAAGAAGTCCTCTGCTTCAGAGAAACGACAAAGCGATCAAGTTGCAAACATTGTTATTAAAGAAGAGCAGGAGGAAGAGGATGTGAGGAAAAAATCCGAAATTGAAAATCAACGAGCGTCGAAAGGAGGAGGGCAGTGTCAAATAATTGTCACTCCTTGTACTGAAACCGACGAAGAAAAACTTAAAAATGGAAGAGAAGAGATGACGAATAATGACGACGTGTTTCTTCCAGAGGGAACCAAAACTGTACGTGACACAAGTGATAATGCTGATAAAAATCCTGACTACGTGAATGGTGACATTACACTTAACAATGCAAGTGTGAAAGCGGTCGGAAAACATGTGAATGGAACCTCCGGTAGTGTGTCTACGCGTCGCGGTATGAAGAACCCGCCAAGCCTTTCTCTTCAGCCAACCTCAACTGCTGGCAGTGCTGAGCACCTTTACGTGAATTCGCCGAAAGTCGTCGATTATGTTAATGTCAAAGGTGCCCGTGCAAGCCCTGGCTTGAGATCCCGCGCGAAAACGGGCGTAGCAAAGACTGGTACGAGCAGTAAATCAAAATTGAACCCGTACGAAATATATGATGGCAACGATGATTCGATTTACCATAGTGTGGAATCGCTAATGCCTTCACATCCGGGCTATCGAAATGTCATGAATAACGATCCCTCGCGAAGTCACAGTTTTGAAAACATCGCCGGTCATTCGTACGCAAACGTGTTGGGTGGGCTTCCCTCCTATAAAACCATGGGGCATATGGATCGAAAGTACGTGAATGTCGTTTCACAGCAGAATCAGGGAAATTTAAACTATATAAAACTGGACGGTGTAGATTCGTTTCAAGGGGCCAGTCCTTTTGCGAGTACGTCGCCAAAATCGGCCAAGCCGTCGAGCGATTATACTTGGATCGACGAGCGAAAAACTAAACTTTTGGCGGACACAGCGAAATTGCACTCTGAAAGAAGGCAGGAGAATCTGCCGCGGGTCATGAAGAAATAAGTTTGTAAATAGTTCTTGCGAAAAAAAAGGTTCCAGCTCCCCGCATGGCTTGGAAAAGACGCGGGAAAACGCGCGCGAAAATGTACACGCAATACTTAGGTGGGAAGCGGGACGCACGCGAAAATCGTCTCTCCCCAAAATCGTTATTCCCCAGCGGGGGGGGGGGTTGGGGGGAATGCCCGTGTCCGTCTGATTGGCTTCCCCACGCACAGCGTCCTATGGAAGGTGGTTAGTAAGCTTGAGATTATTTTTATGTAAAGAGACAAAACATTAAATTCTCGAAACTAACATTAGAAACTATGAAGTAAACAATTAGAGAAATAAACTCATCGGTTTTTACCTAGGAAATTATTATCATCGGATCAATGATTTAGGAATTTTTTTACCTAACAGTTGTGAAAGTTCTTGTTTTCCAGCTCGGAGGTCAATCAGCTGTGAAAAAAAACTTATGGGTCACCCAGATGTAGTATTGCTTTATTATGGTCCAGTAACGATTTTTATAGGGGTTGTTAATTTTACATTCAATCCCAGAGCTCCAACAAAGAATGATTGTAACTTTGCATGCATTCAGCTCCTAGGTTACACTGATTGAACATGGGAACATTCTTTTGTAGTAAAAAAAAAAAGAAAGAAAGAAAGACGAACAACTGAGTTTTATTAAAGATGTTGCAGATTTTGCGATGTGTCTGTTGCCAACTACAATTCAGTGTGAGGTGCAAGATCAAAACACAATCAACCTTACCAGGAATGTACCTCAAATTTTTTTTTTTGGTTGTCCGGCCCCCAACCAATAGCTTACTCCTTCATCCTTGATAATGGTTCAGGCCTAAAAGGGCAGACGGGTTGGGAATTGAGGTTACTTGGACCCCTAAGAGTGACTGGCATCTAACTTCTCCTTACAACATCACCTCTGAATCACACATTAAGGTTATAAGAAGAATGGAAGTGATCACCATTTAAAGAAACTCTTGATTGTTAAACAAATTCTCCTTATTAGCATCGTTAGAAATGTAAGGAGAACGGTATGGAGAATATGCAGACTGATGTTAGGATGTAAAGGTAAGGTTACTGTGCACAAAACGAGGTGCCTTTTAGTAGAAAAAAAAAATCGTCCTTTGCGCGTTACTTAAACAGAAACCATGGAAAACTATGTATCACTGTAACGCTAGTAAAGTACAGATCCTGAAAATAACAAATGGTCAAGTTTTGTCCGCAACGCGCAAGTCTTAAACACAAAACTGAAGGTTTGCTTTAAAAGAATTGCAAATTGCAATACCACAAACTGGACTGTGCCACTCAGTAAATAACAAGCTAACAAAGGGAATGAGGTTTTTTTTCGATATTCGTACTGGTTCCTGAAAAAAATTCTAGATTGAAGTTGGACGGTAGAGAAAATTTTGCAGAGAGGACAGTTTTTAAAGGAGCATTGAGCAACTCGTGACATTGAAAGATTGAGTTATTTTGTACCTTGGTCTGAATGACAGTGACTTTAGGACGTTTGAGTAGTTTTGTTCTGGACACGTGCACTAGTCTTGAGATGGAAAACCTCGTGAAAAGATTTGGTGTAATTTGGGGTTTCGCTTTCGGTTCTGTCGATAGTTTTAGTCTTATTTGCCTCCAATTGTATGTGGAATTCAATGAATGGTTTGACTCGAACATCAATTCCCAACAATTAACATAAATTAAATCAACATGTTGCAAAACATGGAAATTGGATCGTCACGCCAACTGTCTCTACGACAAGGAACATTCATACGATGTTTTGGGAAAAGCTGCAGCTCCAAGCCACATCAACGTGAAAAAAAAACTCTAAAAATACAAATTTATTACACCAAAATATAATTACTACAACTAAACTCCACAGTGCATGCAATATTTGTTTCTGTTCTGCCCCCACACTTATTTTTTTTCTCGCACCAAAACCAAACGATTTGTCAAGTTACATGTTCCACTTTATCCATAGCAAAAAATATTCATCTCACTTACAATGAAAGATTTGACATGAGCTTAAAACTTGACCATCACAAGGTAAATGTATTCCTCAAAAATAATCAAATAAGTGAGTAAAGTGTAGACTTGGCAGGTAGATGTGATTATGAAGCTTATGAATGGGTATGCTACCACAATTCAGACCATCTTAATCAACACAAAACTGTTAACACTGGTACATCTGTGACTAAACCTGGGGGGAAATTATGCAATTTAGGAACAAGTATATCATTGCTGAACACAGCAAGCATGGTCTAAGGTGGCCATAAAAAATATCCAACCCGTTCAAACGTGGGAAATACAAATACTAAAGTGTTAACACCAGCATTTCCTTCCACTAAGAAATGAAAATACCATTTACCTATCTATAAATTAATTGCGCTGAAAGTAAGCATTATGCAACTTAAGCATGTTTACATGCATGTAAAAATACCCACTGCAAGTATCTATTCATTCTTGCAACATGAGGGTGACAAAAAGGTACTCTTGTCATATTTTCAGTGATAAGTGTTTGCCCCTGAACACTTACACAATATAACAGCCTACTGGAAAACCTCCACACTCTTTAGTAAAAAATGCTGAGAAACCTAAATGTTATAAGCACGTCCGCTCCTAATCAGTAACTGTAGGGCTCTGCAAACAATAATAATCATAATTCTCTATTTTCCTGAAAAATAACAATTTCAGAACAATAAAACTGTGACGAAGAAAAGCAAAACTTTTACTTAGAGAGGACAACAATTTTACTTCTTAATTAAAATTTGATTTGGGAATAGGGCAAACAATAATCATGCAGAAACTTCCTAGAAATTCCTCTTTGTCATGAGCTAAATTTCTTTTTCTCTGCTTGGACTTCTTTAGCTCTCTTCAAAATAATTTCATTTCTCTGTTTTATCTGTTGAATACGCACATCCAGTTCTCGTTCCCTCGCAAACTTTTTTGTTTCCCTTTTTGGAGATCTCTTCTTGTTCAGCTCTTCATTCTGGGTAGCTTTCCTCTCACCTCCTTTCTTCCCTGAAAGTCGAGACCTCAGGTCTGTAAGAACAAAAAAGTTGTCAACTTTTTGTTTTGCATTAGCACTGCATAAATGATAATGATAAGAGATTGTCAGATTCTCCATCCACAATTCCGTACATTACCCAGTCAAACACAAGGAGAATTTGACATTGCATCAAATTTCCCCTAAATAATATTCCGAGCACCTCTTCATTAATGTTCCATTGAAAAGTACAAGTCAAAACAACTAAGAATTTTCGATATGCCATATTTCCTCAAATAAGTCCCACAGGAACTTATTTAAGAGAAGGGGCCCTAACTGAAGGGGGGGGGGGCACTTATTAACCCTTCAACTCCCATGAGAGACAAGACAGCATTTGTCCTTACAATATCAATACAATATCAACCAGATAAGTGATGAGAATAAAGGAAAATATCAATTTGGGGATAATTTGTTGATCCAATACTACATTCTCTGAACTAAAATTATAAGAATTGTATGGTTGACAGTAAGGAGAATTACAAATTTGATCTGGGAGTTGAAGGGTTAAGTTAGCCCCACAACAGGACAACAATTAAGAGAACTGCGAGCACATGGAGATAGAAACAAATGTAAGGGACTTTAACTGAAAAGTTACAGTTCTCTTGTACTGATTCTGCTGAAGAGAAAAAAAGGTATAAATAAAGTGGCAATAGGAACAGGTCATGCTGTTTGGGGAAGTGAGGAAGGAGGGGGGGGGGGGGGGGTTTGCTTATTTGAAAGGGGCACTTGTTTGACTTTGTGGCCTTAGGTGTGGGTGGTTTTAGGAGGAAGACACCTCCTAAAGAGCAGGCGCTTATTTGAGGACATAAGATACTCGCAATGCTTGGTTGCAGAGGCCTTTCTTGGGTAGGTCCCAACACTAAAGAAAGCCAACATGTAAATGTACCAACTAACCTTTGGGTTTTACAATTATTGCACCATCCACATCCCTCTGAACTGTACGCTTTGAAGTACTTTTGCTTTCACTGGCACCATGTTTAATTGTTGACGAAGCTCCTCTAACTTTGGACATTTTTTCAGTGTCACTTTTATCCTGATTTCTCATCTCTTTTCTTGGTGATGTTGACGAGTGTGTTGTAGTAATTTTATCTTTACTTTTATCTTTCCTTTCCAGATGTTTTTTAACGTCACTTTTCATACTGTCTCTTTTGTCTGATTTTTCTATATTTGACTTGATTAGTTTCCTAGTTCTTCTGCTCCTTGTTTGTGAGTCTGACCTGGAGTGATAATGGTGAAACCTGTTATTTTGGCTGTCTCTAGAAATTCTTTCATGTTTTCTGTCTCTACTACGACTCCTCTGGCGATGGCTATAATTTTGTCTTCTATGAATTCTATCTGTTGATGGTGAATGCGACCTTCTATGAAGATGTCTTTCCCTAAACCTGTTGTGTAAGTATGGATCTTGCAGTCTGTCACGTGAAAGCGAGTGACTGTGGTATGAACGTGATGAAGTACGAGATCTTTCTGGTGAGTGGGAACGTTTTTTTCTGTCACTTTCTTTGGAGTTACTTCTCCTTCTCTTGCGGCAATCAGTAGGTATTTTTTTCAATCCTACTCTAGATTTCACAGTAGGAGGATTCTCCTCCTCTTCTTCAAAATCACTGTCCTCATCCTCAATACTGAGCTGATCAAAGTCCATTTTCTCCTCATTCTTAGTCTCTGATTTCAACTCTATCACAAGTGGCTTTGTTTCCATGTCATTACACATCTTGGCCTTGCTTTCATGACTGATAGCTTTCTCACTAAAAGTTGTGGCCTTGTTTTCATGATTGGTATCATTCTCACTACAAGCTGTAGCCTTGTTTTCATGACTGGCATCTTTCGCACTACAAGCTGTGGCCTTGCTTTCAAGACTGATAGCTTTGTTACCACTAGTTTTAGCCTTGTTTTCAAGACTGACAGCATTGACTGGCACAATTTCATTGCATTTTTGTATCACTTGTTTGCTGTTTAGGTTCTCCTTATCTTTGTCCTTCAACTTTTCCTTTGGTGGTAAATCTTTACTTTTTTGAAAGTTTGATGAAGTTACAATTCCTTGTTTCTCTCCAGTAAGAGGTTTGGAAGTGCTTTTCTTTCCTTCTTGTAGACTTGTGACAGTTACATTAGTACTTGTTTCACTTTTGGAAATAGCTTGTTTTAGTTTTCCTTTATTAACAGGTGCTACCTTTGTTTTTATATTTGCTGCAGAAGTATTCACTGTTACAGATTCCACCACAGGGTTATCTCTTTTGCTGACTTTTTCCTGAGGTACTTGACTCCCATTTGAATGATTTCTGTCCACTGTTTTTGTTTTACTCTCAATATGATTGTCCTTCTCTTCTTCACTGTCTGACCGACTGACAATGATGCGTTGCAAGGATAGCAAGCTATTCTTATTTATACTTTCACTAACACTTCTGTCAACTTGGTTTAACTCGCTGTTATTATCAACTTCGTCATCTACAATTTCCAAATTGACACCAGAGTTCACAATGAGTGACTCGTTGGCAATAGTAATACTGATGTCATTTGAGATACTGATTTCATTGTCAGAGTCTGCCATTTCATCTTCCAACTGTTCTGAATTATTTTCCAAATTATCCTCTGAGTCTCTGTTCATTTCTTCCTCATCTTCACCATCATTTGAGATATTTTCAAACTCATCTTCATCAGTGAGAATATCATGATCATCAACATCCTTCTGATCTGAAAAATTGTCATTTTCAGCAGCAAACTCCTCCGTCAAAATGGTATCATTTCTAACATTATCATCTTCACTTAGACCACCATCTGAATCCTCTTGATTCTCCATTTCTGGATCATCTTTAGGGGAATCACTCTGAAAATCATCATCACTACCTGAATTAACAAGATCCAAGTCACTCTCATTATCTCCTGACTCGTGGTATGACTTCTCACTCAGGTCAATTTCTTCATAATCTGTACTTGATGAGGAGAAGCTGTCCTGTCTTTCAAGAGCAACTATCTGCAAATCACATTTTTCTTCTCCTGCTAGACTTACATGTCGCGTATCCCCCACATCTGCTGAAGCTGATTGTCGTTTCCCATAAGAATTCTGCAAATATAACATTTTTTCTTAGTAGGGGTAGTTCAGTGTATCGAGTACTAATGCAACAACGATGTACTAGCAAAGGTTATTATCTGTGCTATTAACCATTTACACCCTAGCATCAACATCTTAATCCTCCATACTCTTCTTCATATGATTCATTTGGTACTAACAAGGATAACTTGTTAAACAATCAAAGCTTCTTAGGTTGGTAATCATTTCCTTTTATTCACAGGTTCTTAATGAAAGACTGCATTAGGAGAAATTAGATACCAATCACTTTTAAGGTTTAAAGGGTTAATATGTCTTATTATGCAGTAAGACTAGTGATACTACTTCTGTATGTCTACTCATTGACATGACAGTGCTGTTACCTTGCAGAATGACTGTGCCAGGAAATAAATATTATACTGGCAAATAATTCATTTCATTATATGTCTCAGTTAGCATGTGAGCTATGATTGGTCAATTTAGTGGGCCGTATTTCCGTGTACAGCCCACTAAATTGAAAAGTTTATTTCAATTGAAATCTTCTCCCTGTAATTGAACTTAGGGATAAAATAAATATCTTATTACCTTTTTTTTCTCAGTAAGTATTGTAAGTTACAGAACCTTGTCTGTTTTGCTCAGTCAATAACATACAGTTTGAAGCTGAACTTGCTTAAAAACAGAAATTTATATGGACAGTAATAAAAGAGCAAGTTTGTCCTTGATGTGACAAGTAAACAGATTTGCAGGAAGTTTGCTGATGAGCTGATAACGCATCTATAAATTTGAAATTAGCAGTCCTTTTCTCACCTTTGTGCCCAGGCTCTTTAAGGCAGCCAGCCGCAATGTTTCCAGATCATCAAAGTCCTCAACATCATCATCATCTTCATCAATGCTTTTGACAATCCTTCTGTTGGGCTACAATAGTAAAAAGACATCCAAGTCAGAACAGAGGTTCTATATTTCCCTTACACTGTAACTCTCGTCTACAAGAGTTTTGCAAGTTTAACCTTACACACCTTACCAACAGTATGCATATTCTCCATACCATTCCTATACATTTCCTATAGTGCTGACAAGGAGAATATGATAAACAATCAAGAGGCCTCTTTAATTGGTGATCATTTCCTTCATTCTCCTGACCACAAATGTTTGACTCAGGAGTGATAATATACAGAAAAAAATCAATGCTGGTCACTCTAGAGGGTCAAATAAAAGGGTTGACAGAAACTTTCATGGAAAAATACCCCTTTTAAAACATTTTTTCGAGTTATGGTTTCTTTTAAAGTATAACTGAGCTAATCAAAACTATAACAAAATTCTTGAATGTGATTGGTCATCACCAGCCTGATTTGAGCATTAATAGGACAGAGTACACATCATGCTTGTAATTGGACAGTGTAATAGGACAGTTCAAGGGACGGTTAACATGTCATGCCTATGTAAGTGGACAGAACGTGTCATGAGCGTGCGCTGTTGTCTCACATTTTGCTAAGTTAACAGTTGATTTTTTTAAGAAAATGTACAACTGATTTCTAGTTTCTTTCTCAAATTTTGTCATAGTTTTGAATAATTGGTTACAGTTCTTTGTGTTGTCCAATTCTGTCTGTAATCATACTTGTGACTAACAAATCTGACTCCCGCTTCGTGGTCATCTAATTTTGTTTAGCACTCGTATGATTACAGACCGAATTGGACTCTACTCGGTCCTAATACCATTATTAATCTCAGCGGCTCCACTTAAGCTTAGACTGGTAGCAATAAAATGGTTTAATTTCACCCTGTCTTAATTGTTGACTACTGTGAAGACAATTTAAAAACTTTTCACTAGAAAAAGGAAAGGTAATACGCGCTGCAGCGCATAATACTCCCACATCCTCCGGTTACATTTCTTTCCGCTGTCGGTTTTACCTTGTACTATTACACGGCAGTATAAACAAGCGGCCTAATTTTAAAATTAAGATAATGAATTTGATTAGAAATTGCAATAAAAAATCTGTGGTACAAAGGATTCAAGTAGCGTACCCAACCTAATTTATCGCGTTGGAAATGCAACACTTAACAAACAAATGGAATAAACGACAAGCATCTAGATACCGCGAAACAAAAACTTCAAACCGAATTTGCACCAGACACGCACGGAAGACTTTACCTCAAATTCTTTTGAGACTGCAACCCTGTAAAGGTCTCGTCTGAAAACGTCGTACTCATTCTACGAGTAAAAGCATAAGTGAGGATTTAATTTAGAAAAGGGTCAATCAAACAAAGTCACTAAGGACGACAGTCGTTTTCTACTAAATACCTGCTCCAAGGCGTCCATCTTGAATCTTTCCCTTCCGACACTTCGGATCTCGGTGCGCATTACTTTGCGACAATAACCGCTGATAAGTAGGCGCGGATATTATTTTTCGACTGACACGAACAAGAAAAAAACGTGCCTTTAGTATATTTAGTTCTTTTCCCTTTATATATCAAATTTTTGCTACTTTCAACTTGATGAAACCTGGCCCAGAATCTAACACCCTTCCCCCAACTACTAGGCTTGTCCCGATTGTGGCCGTAAAATGCTGGAAATGTCTGAAAATTGCTAAAAAAATTGCCGAAAATCCAGAAAGTCCCATTGAAAAGTCCTATTCCGTTCACGCAGTAAAGTGGCGCGCGATACTAAATTTTTTATCACATACTTGTTATAGCCACACTTTTGGATATGCTGAAAGTTTATTCTATTGTAAAAGCAGTTCAACCCTAAGTCAAATCCCAGTAGTCTTGTTCGAACTAAGAATATCCTTTAACAACAGGTACCTGAATAGAGATTATTTATTTCATAATGCGCCGATCAACTCGAGACTACATCCCCCCCCCTCCCCGGCAACCCACGGGTATTTTACCGTCGTCCATGCCCATGGGGTGGGGAATTTTAACCTTGCCTGGCTGGGGTGGGAAATTTGATACAGAAGTACTAAGTCTTTCCAGCAGAATACAACAAGAGTTACATCTTTCAACATGGAGGCATTTAATGTAAATAGTCCACTTTCGTGTGCGAATGATTCAGAAGAAAAGATCTACGAGGCTTTGGTTTTAAAGTTTAGTTAATGTGTAGAAAGGCAAGTTGAGGATTTGCCTTTTGCAAAAATTTTTGGTATGGCATTCGAACACAGTTTTTACCCCAGAGGCGGGAATTTGAACAAACAAATCTTCAAATGCCCGGGGAGTAAGCCGGAGGAGCGGGGTGGGGAGGGGGAGTATGATGAAGTTTCGAATTTATAGACGCATTATCAACAGTTAAATACATAGTAAACAGCATCACGAGTCATAAATAGATGACAAGTTCAACAATCACATAACCAAAACAATAGCTGTTAACAGCGCTCACCCAAGGTTAAATTTCAATCCGGATTTCTTTATTCCTTTGATCAAAACCCTTTTCAGGATGATTTTCCCTATTCTGTTTAGAGCGTAATTTCTCAGAGAAAAAGAGTTCTATAACAATCAGTCTTTCCTTAAATAATTCCTACACCATGATGTCTGTTTTGAAAATTGCAAGAAAACAGATAGTTCACCGAGCTTGCTAAATAGGTATGTTAAGCCAATCTTACCCCTTCTATGCACTGGTACTAACTACGCTCGTCATTTCATCGGTTCACGGTACATTTTGCGGTAGCGGGAAGCAAGGGTTTTCAAAAAATACTTGTTGGGTAAAACGTTCCGAGAGTATTGAAAAATAAATTGTAAACAAGATCGCGCAGTTTTAAACAGCATCGACTCACAACGTTCCTCGAGTCGTTAAATCAGGCGCATGAGTTGTATCAAGGGGGTAAGTTTCTAAAGAAACTGTGATGCTGCGTCGGTGGGAGAATATAGCAGGGTAGTTTAGAATTATCAACAGAGTTGATAACGTAAATTTGCCATTGTAAAGAGTTTAAAAGCTGACGTTTCGAGCGTTAGCCCTTCGTCAGAGCGATTGCTGTATCCTCGAGCAGCGGCCTTCGTGGTAATTTGTACACCAGGATTATGCTATAAAAAATATAGCTCACTGTTTCCTTACTCGGAACTGGTTAGATCAAATGACCACCACAAACCGTATAATATTAAGCCAAGCTTTAATAATTATTCGATCTAAAAGAAATACATTTATAATTCGCAATCAGAACAAACGCAAATCAAGTCTTAATCTCGCAGCTAAGTTAAAAAACTTCAATGTAAACTTACTTCTGTGGCGGGTCGTTACAACAGTCTCACTTTACAGGTTAGCAGATTCTCCAGGTAAGCGGATTTAGAGACAGAAAAAATGATAACAAAATAACTTCTCTCTCACTTCGATTCCGGTGAAAAACTGACTTAAAACATAATAATCTAACGCTTTTAAATCAATCTATAGAATTTATGTCAATCACGAATCTTGTCATTAAGTAAATCTATCAACAAGAGGCAACGCCTATTTGATAAACGAAACACTCACTGTGCTCGTTCAAGAGGAAAAGACCATCGTGCCGGTATACCTCGCCCATTGATTGAAAAACAATTCGTTAATTTTGGAATGCGTGCGCCCTTATTAGTTTGATTACGTGATTTGTATGCGCAATACAGGATGCGCATTGCATTATTGAGGAATCACCTAAAGTCAATAACAAACAAACCTAAAAATTCAGGTTCCCAATAGTGCGCAAATCCAAACACACATGATGTAAATCTTTTTCAGAGTCTGATACTTTCATTACTGTTTCTTCTGGCTACTTAAATACAAACCTAGTCTCGTACTTAGACCTTCCACGGTGAAGTGGTCGGAAGAATTTAGTTTAAGTTAAACGGTAGGATCTGGATACGAGATTAATGCGATACCGCCTTGCGGTTTCATATTGGCTAAGTGGTGATTGGCGAAACACCTAATTGAAAATGGTCTTCCTTCTCAAGCCGCTCGCAGCTTCACTGCCATACACTCTGGCGCACCGATAAACCTGAATCTAGAAACTGAAGAGTTCCTCATATGACAAAGATGAATTTATTTGCAACCGAACAAGCAGATGTATGACTGGAATATATTTAATGAAAAAAAGATTGCTTGAAACTAATCCAGCCTAATGCAAAATCTACAAGAGAACTGTGATATCTTCTTATATGTCGTACTCTTCTACAATCGGAACGGCGAATGCACATTGTGTTTCGATGCCCAGGTTGTAGTCTCCCCGGCATCCACCTTGGTAACTGGATGTTACGATTCTAAACCAGCCTCTCTCTCCCCAGGGCACGCCCCAGGAATTGCGCACAATCCAGTATTCTGTACCATTTTCAACACCCCAGCCAGCGACTGACACACAGTGGTTTCACTTTAGGAATTTATTGTATTCTTTGTAGATCCCTCCTTGATACTTATTTTCAAAGGTTTTAGTCGCCATGATAGCACAGGAAATAGGGCCCCGAGCGTAAATTTCGGCCTTCATCTCCTCACGTCCTCTTACAACGCCTACAACAGCATTGGGAGAATTTGTACGGAGAGGATTTGTTATTATCACGTTAAAAGTTATCAAATATGTTAATTACTTTATAAAAAAACTGAGATATTACAGGCGCCTCCCTGATTGGTCAAAATCTATCGTTTATTGAACTGGTTAACCCACAGAAATTGAAACATTTTAAGTTTATTTTATAAAAGCAATAGTTTGCACTTTCTATCTTAATTTGAAACGTTTGCCAGAGCCGCGTAATTTACAAACGTTTTTCGTGTTCTCCCGACATCCCACGTAGGTTATTACACCGGTACACCGATAGAAAGTGAGGTCAACTTCAAATCATCCACTTACCGTATTCACTGACTCTCCATAAGGTGTAGTTTTTTATAGCATAGCATTTTTGAGGGGTACAGGTTCCACACTGATTGAATGGCGTGCATATCTGGTCTTTGGCTTGATAATTGTTACACGTTTCATCTGGTATACCATGTTCATGAGCGTAACGATACACACTCAGTGAACCGCCACCTCTGCAGCTGCCAGCTTTCCCTGTTGTATCATTATTTTTTAATTCATTGTTAATAAAGCAACCGTCAAATAAGTGGTGGAAATAATCCGAAATTGTTTCGGTTTTGGTTTCGAGCACTTTTCTATTATGGGTGCCATAGAGCCAAAGCCAAATTGTTGACATGGACCAATCAGAAGAAAGGAAAATACCTTTAAGAGCCAATCAGAACTCAAAAGAAAACAAGCAAACTTCTTAAAGCGCGGGAAAACGCGGGCGACCAAGTTGTGTTTTGTTTTAGCTAGTGTGCATCTCATTGATTGAAAGGATAGTGCGAATTTTATGGACTAATCGCAGAGCGAGGTACAGCAAAACCAAAGGAATGCCAAATTACTTTTTAAGCTCAATTGAAAATTTCATTAATTTGCCATGAAATTGATGCAGAAAACTTATGTCTTTTTGTGAACCAACCAGACTCCGAGCAAACCAATCACGGCCTCTCACTCGTGTTTTCGCACACTTAAATCAGTTTGCTTGCTTGTTTGTTTGTTTGTTTGTTTTTTAGTTCTCATTGACTGTAAGTGATATATTCCTTTTGATTTGCTGTTGTGATTACTTCGGATTTGGTTTTGCGGCGCTAACCAGAAAATTATTCTAACAAGTGGAGTGGAAAAGGAGGTGAGTGATACTTTCCATTCACTTCCGAACGAGCCAATCAGCGCGCGCGAAAAGTACTATTCACTTGAGTGGTGTATATTAATGCCACATAGTATACACTTAAACAGTTGAGTAGATCTGGGTACGAGATAGCGTTTGAGGCGCGCTCTGATTAGCCACCCATACTTTAAATATCCTTCGCTATTCACCTCTGAGCGACTCACGTAGGATTTGCGCCCGAAAACGTTGTAGTCGTTGCAGGAATAAATGAGTTAAAATAATCTTTTAGCTATATTATGCCACTGTTTTAGTATATACTAGAACAACTATTCACCTCAGTGTCGGTGGCAGGTGGTGGATATTTACCTCGCAGATTCGCGCCTCGATAAACATCCACCACGAGCCACCTCCACTTCAGTGAATAGTCGTTAACTATCGAGGGGTGTCACTTTCTTAATTCTGATTGGCTAAATTTTCAAGCATGCATTTGAGTCTAAGCAGCATAGTTCTATAAAAAAATAATAAAAATAATAATATAATAATGATGTACTTGCACAAAAAGATACGAAAAGTGAAAATCAAATCAACAAACAAAATAAAATATGACCAGAAAATAAACGGCTATGTGGTTATCATACAAATTTCTTTTGGACCCAAATTAGTCGCGTACTCAGACCTTCCACGGCCAAGCGGTTATGAGGATCCAACATTTTAATTACAGTTAAACGGTAGG